ATATTCTTACCTCCTTTGTTGTAGATTGATTGCCCAATGGCATTTTTCACAGAACTAGAATAATGCTTAACTGTGTATGGAAACACAAAGACTTCGAATAACCAAAACAATCTTGAGAAAGAAGAGCTAGAGGTATCATGCGCCCTGATTTCAAACTATACTACAAAGCTACAGTCATCAAAGCAGTATGGTACTGGCACAAAAACAGACACATAGATCAACAGAATAGAATAGAGAGCCCAGATATGAACCCACACTTGTATGTGCAATTAATCTTCACAAACATTTTACAGTTTTAAGAGTTATGTATTTTAAAATTCATTTATGTGTAGACTCTGTGGCAAGTGATACTGGTTTTCCATTTATAGCAATGATATAAACCACTTTAGAATACATTGATTTAGGTTAAAAGGGTATGTCTTTAAAGAGAAATGGTAATACGTGGTGCTACGTGTGGTGGCAGAAGTTGAGAAAGTTGATGCATGATTAATTGAAGTTTGGGAAACGTTGGCTTATTTGTAAATAATATGTTATACTAGCTTGTAGTACTGTAATTTTAATTAATTGTTAAATAAAAACCTCATAGTCATTTTAATTGTTTGACTCTTACTTAGTTAAAAGTAAGAACATATATGTCAAATGCTGTTCTATTGAGAAGGTTTATAGGACTTCCTGGCAAAGAGTAGGGCAATTTTATAAAAGTCATACATATACTCACTAATTTCAAGGATAAATTGGCATGGCAAACCAAGCACTATGCAAAGGGCTTTTGTTAAATTTTATCAATCAAAAGTTGGGGAAGATTCTTTTGGTTTGGGTTCATATATGCTAATATTTAGTGAGAAGAGTAGACAGCATATTATTTTTTCCCTGAGAAGCAGAAAAGGAAAACCAGGATATTTAGAAGATGCTTTGAAGTTAATTTTATCCAGAAAGTATTTTTAGAAATATTAGAATATCTGGGAACAGATCTTTGAGTAATAGTTAAATATAGATTTTATTTTTATTTAACATTTCATAACTGATTTAGTTACTCCACATTTAAAAAACAGATTAATACACCTTACTACAAAATACAAGAAATGTGGAGATAGTAGAAAATATAAGTAGAAATTCCTTCTTCTTCTACTAATATTCCCCCAGCCCTATTCCTTAGGCACAACTACTGTTAACAGTTTGAAGTCACCTAATTTTATTTTATTTATTTATATTTTTGACTGTGCCATGCGGTTTGTGGGATCTTAGTTCCCCGACCAGGGATTGAACACGGGCCACAGGGAACCCATGGCTGCCAGGGAATTCCCCTGAAGTCACCTATATTTTTTTTATAAATTTATTCTTTAAAATTTTTGGCTGTGTTGGTCTTCGTTGCTGCGCACGGGCTTTCTCTAGTTGTGGCGAGCGGGGGCTACTCTTTGTTGCTTATTGCGGTGGCTTCTTTTGTTGTGGAGCATGGGCTGTAGGTGTGTGGGCTTTGGTAGTTGTGGCACGCAGCTCAGTAGTTGTGGCTCTAGAGCGCAGGCTCAGTAGTTGTGGCGCACAGGCTTATTTGCTCCGTGGCATGTGGGATCTTCCCAGACCAGGGATAGAACCCGTGTCCCCTGCGTTGGCAGGCGGATTCTTAACCACTGTGCCACCAGGGACGCCCTGAAGTCACCTAATTTTTTATTTTTTTTGCGGTACGCAGGCCTCTCACTGTTGTGGCCTCTCCCGTTGCGGAGCACAGGCTCCGGACGCGCAGGCTCAGCGGCCATGGCTCACGGGCCCAGCCGCTCCGCAGCATGTGGGATCTTCCCGGACCGGGGCACGAACCCGTGTCCCTTGCATCGGCAGGCGGACTCTCAACCACTGCGCCACCAGGGAAGCCCTGAAGTCACTTAATTTTAAAAGTCAAGTGTAATGGCATTTAGAAATTGGAAGAGTAGGAATCTTTTTGTTGTTGTTGTTCCAGATTCTGCTTCCATTACCTGCGTCTATATTTTTAAGCAGATATGATGTATGGAATTACTGTGGGCTTTGGAGTCAGATCTGTGTTCGAATTCTTACTGCATCACAGAGCAGCAATGCGAGTTTGGGAAGTTCCTTACCTTTCTGAGTGGGAAGTTCCTTACCTCTCTGAGCTTTAGGTTCCTCAACAGCAAAGGCTTAATGTTGTTTTATTTCCAGCCTCTGATCTGGCCTAGTCTGTCTCTCTGTCTCTTTTTAATAGGAAACATATCTAAGAAGAACTGGCATAAGAATCCATGACATTTTTTCTCCTGGAGAAATGGAATTTGGTATTTTAATGACCACAATGTGCATGCATTCAGTAATACACTCCTTTATTAGAACATTTCACCACCCTCCCAAGTACCTATCATCAGGTTGTAAAAGGACATTGTATTTACCTGCCCCTGGAATCTTCCTGGAATTTAGATGGCCTCTGTTGGGTTTCACTTTGCACTTATTAATAATTTAACATTGGGATAAAAATAAAAAACAAAGACTCTCATCTTACAGTGTGAGAACATGGGTCATGTGTGCTAAGTCATGCAGGTAAGATGAGTAGCAAAACTCAGTGGGGTATCCGGTCTAAAGAGGTCTTTCATGTGGGCTGTTGTGTCCCTCCTGTAGAATGATTGCCTTAGAATTAAAGAGAATTAATGTAATTGCTCCTGAAGAGGGAAATGTATTTTTGCTTTTCAAAGGTGGTTGTATAAGCTTTAATTATCTAATCCAAACACAGGAGCTTTCTACAAGCAGCTTTCCCTTTTAGCAGGCATAGTCAACTTGCAAATACTGCTGCATCTTTAGGTTTGAAAAATCACTGCATCATAACCAACTCTGTTGAGTATATTATATAACCTACTCGTTAGGGAACAACAAAGTCCTGTTTTAATATTGGTTACTGAAAATGGTCTTTAAAGCTAGGGTTGGTTTACGTGGATTTTTGTAATTATTTGAGCTGCAGCTTGAGATATGGTTCTCCGTTGCTGGAATCTGTGTCTCATGTCTCGATCATTGTTTTACTGTGGTTTCATTTTCTGTGCTGTTTTTGTTTCATATTCAATTTGCTTTGTTTGGTGTGTGCTTTATCAGACCTTCTTGTTTACTTGTCACAGGAATATGGAGCTTTCTTAATAAAGTTAGAAGTATCTTTTTATGTATTTATTTTAGCTTTCTTTCTTTAGAGAATTGAAGTGTTTTCTAGTCCTGAAATTATTAATAATTAAGTACATGTAATATATTGCTAGTGGAACAGTGTAAAGCTCAAAGAAACTTTGTAAGTAGAGAAGAAAACCCTACTTTTTAAGAACTGGGACTCTGTCATTCTTGTTGAAATGCATAGGTTTTTTTTTTTTTGTGGTATGCGGGCCTCTTACTGTTGTGGCCTCTCCCGTTGCGGGGCACAGGCTCCGGACGCGCAGGCCCAGCGGCCATGGCTCACGGGCCCAGCCGCTCTGCGGCATGTGGGATCTTACCGGACTGGGGCACGAACCCGTGTCCCCTGCATCGGCAGGTGGACTCTCAACCACTGCGCCACCAGGGAAGCCCCATAGGGTTTCTTTTTTTTTTTTGATATCTGTATATCCATAGGAATAACTGATATTTATGGAAAACCATTTTAGTCTACAGTGCCTAGTCAGCCATTTCAAAAATTATTTCTCTCTTGTCTTTACAAGCTTCTAAATATATATATGCATACATGTATATATACATATACATTATATGTATTTATTTATATAAATATATAAAAAATTATATGTAATACTACTATATGTACTAATGCATAGGGTTTTGATGTTGGAACATATTAAGGAAATAATGTCATTCTTTCTAGGTAGAGAGGATTTTAGGGATGAAAGTTGATTCAAACTGTAGAGGAAAATGATCAGTGCTCCTGTCTGAGAATTAAAATATTAAATTGCTCTTAGAATAAAACCAACCCCTCCTCATGGTTTGCAGTGCTCTTCACAATCTGAACACTACCTGGCTTTCCCTTTGCCCGCTGCTCTAGTCACACTCATCTCCTCTGTCCAACTCACCAAGCTCTTCCCCCCTCAAGGACCCTGGCCCTTGTTGTTCCTCCTTTCCCTTAGCTGTTCCCATGGCTCTCCTCCTGAATGTCTCCAAGAGACCCCTCCCTGACCACATCAAGGTATTAAGTAAGTCTACTCTCTTTCCAATACTCTGCTTATTTCCTTTCCAGCACTTATCTCAGACTGTATTTCTTTTTGTTAATTACTTTGTTTTGCCCCAAAATGTAAATTCAATTAAGAGAGGTGCCAGTACCTGATAAAGTGCCTAGCAGCTAGTATATAGTCAATAAGTTGATTAAATGGAAGTTATTTACTGGTTTTAAGAGCTCTTTTTTGTTTGTTTCTTTATTTATGATTAGTTTATCATGCTGGACTGGAGGGATTTAAGTATCCTTGACATCAAGAGCCAAGCCAATATGCTTTCCAGTGCTCTTACCTGCATGCATTTCCCCCCATTTCATTGTGATTTTATTGATTGTTTGGAGAGCAACATGCGCTTTCCTCAGAGGAGACAGAGAACTCTGTAGATCTCCCAAGGGTATTGTGCCCTGAGATGTCTTTCAGAATTCACCAGGAACTAAATTACCTCACAGCAGATCTTCTACAAAGGACAGGGAAGTCTGTATTGGTCTTTGGTGAACACACAGTTCAATAATGGAGGTACAATTATTCTGCTCCCAAAAGGGAAAACCTTGCCATTGTATCTGTTCAATGTGCCTTGTAAACAGCCCTGGATGGCCCCTTTATGGATTTGCCCTGTGTCTTTAAGCTCTTACTCATCCTTAAGCCAAAGGCTGTTGTTCCGCTTCAAGCTGAAAAGGAAATTTTGGCAGCTTGCTTGCTGTCTAAAGATGAACATTATCACCATGACAGTTGTCACTTTCAAAGTGGAAGAAGGGAAATGCAAATTTGGTGAGTAATTAAGTTAGTTTTGTCTCATTCTTTGGTGGTGTTCTAAATGTTGCTATTTATTTGTCTTAGGTAATCTATTTAAAGAAGACACCAGAAGAAGCCTACAGAGCACTCCTATCTGGCTCAAATCCCCCCTATCTTCCATTCAGGTATAACTGCTTGTGAGACTTGAGCTATGGCAACTTTGCTAGACAGCTCGCTACTTTAGAATTGGAGAATTGTGTTTTTTAATTGTATGAAGAGTGTGACCATGATATTACATGGAATGAAATGAGACAGTAGTTTTTATTATTTTGTTTTTGTAGAGACCCCCTCCCCCGTCTAGTAAGAATAAAATAGCTTTCCATTTTTAGGAATTAATTTTTTTCCTTGAATTCTTTCTATACCTTGACAGTTTAAGCACAAACAGTGCCTGATTTATGACCTAATAACCATGTCAAGATTTGTTAGATTTCAGTCATCTACATCACTGATTCATCCATTCATTCTTTCATTTTGTGAGCATTGATTGAGCTCTGACCAAATGTCAGGGGCTGGGAATATACAATAAGAGCCTCAAAGCACCTTCCCAGAAGTACATATTTAGTGGGGACCCTAATCACCTGTTTAGCAGACAAATCTAACTTCCATCCTGAGGAAGACTGTCTCTCATTACAGTGCTGGAAAAGAATGTTTTGTAAGTGACACCTGAAGAAGATATTTTAAAAATTTCATGTAAACTTGAGCTTATTTAAAGAGTAGAAGGAAATGTACTCCTTCTACTTCAGAAGAACTTCCATAACAGTCATCTCTGAAATGTACTCCTTCTACTTCACAAGAACTTCCACAACAGTCATCCACAGAATTGCGAATGATTCTAATATTTTTGCCTTTTTGTTTATTTGTGTGTCCAAATCTACAAGCACATGGATTGCTTCTTATTGTTACTAATATCAAAATTACCAACAATAATGAAAGAAAGGAACAGGAAAGAATGAGGAGGCCTCTTTGTCTTCATTACTCTCCTGTAAACTCACAGAGGGCAGGTCCCAGTGCCTGACACTTAAAAGTGCTTTTTGTAAATATTTATTTTAATGAATAAGTTAAGACTAAATCCCCTAAGATCCAAAGGATTCCCACGTCTGTTTCTCAGACCACAAGAGGGAGAGTTATTAGGCACAGGGTGGGTGTCAGGTGAGGAGGATATAGGGACAACAACAGCTAGTATGCTTGATCTTCTCAGTGAAAACAAGGGGTAAAGTACTGGAGTTGGGACAGTGAGAGGAAAATATCCTCAAGCAACCTAGAGGATGAGCTAATTAGCCATTGAAGGACAGATAAAAGGTTACAGATTACGTAAATGAGTTTTAATGGTGAGGACAAAGCTTTTTTTCTCCCACTCCTAATGGCTTCTATAATTTGAAAGCTCTTTGTACAATTCTATTTTTTAGAAAAGGGTAATTGTTTTAGTTAATTTGGGCTGTTGTAACAAAGTACCATAGACTGGGTGGGTTGTAAACAACAGAAATTTGTTTCTCACAGTTCTGCAGACTGATTAGGTGCCAGCATGGTCAAGTTCTGGTGAGGGCTCTCTTCAGGGCTGTAGACTGCTTATTTCTCGCTGTGTCCTCACATAGTGGAAAGAGGGCAGAAAAACGCTCTGGGGTGCCTCTTATAAGGGCACTAATCGCATTCATGAGGGCTCTACCCTCATGACCTAACTACTTCCCAAGGTCCCGCCTCCTAATACCATCCCCATTGGGGATTAGGCTTTCAACATATGACTTTGGGGGGGACACAAACTTCCGTTTCATTGCAGTAATAATAATATTAATCACTTCCTAAATTTTAAGCAAAGTGGTTAAGAGTACATGATTTGGAGGCAGAGACACTGCCTGGGTTCGAAGGTTCATTCTGCTCTTTTCTATATGTAATAAGTAAGTATATGTAACTTGGGCAAATTACTTATCCTCTCTGAGCTTCAGCTTCCTTTTCTGTACAATGGCTTCAGAGCTATCCTGAGGATTAAATGAGGTAATACATATATCACCGTGCCTGGTGCAGTACCTGGTTTTTGTTTTTCTTGTTGTTGTTAGTACTATTACTATTATTCATAAGAAATAAGGATTATCCACAAGGATATAAATATGAATAGGAAGTATTTCTAATGATCACACATTCTAGTAGGGGCAGGTAGCTCTATAAGCACGTAATTAATTGTTAAAAAGTTGGGTTTTATAAAAATAGAAGAAAAGATTCTGACAGAAATACGAGAAAGTATCAGACTCATTTAAACTAAACTTTTAAAGGGTTTCACAGGCAGGGGAGGAAAAGTTAGGCATCTGTGTACCCTACTGGAAAGCCCTGGAAGGGAATGTGTCTGAGGCAACTTCCAACATCCTCTGTGATAGGAGCCGTAGGATCCGTGGTGAGAGAGGGGCCAGCAACTGTGAAGGGATCATAGGTGTACCTTTCCTTGAGACAGTGAGGGCTCATTAAATTTGTTTTTTAAATCAGAAAAATGTTTACAATTTTTTGTTGTTATTTTGAAAACAGCACATGCACCTGGGGATTGTAATGCTGTAACGTTTGTAAAATTGTAATTCCAGTCAATAGGCCCAGTGGACATTGTGGCTATTCAGACATTTTAAGTGGAAAATATATATTAATTTTTATGCTTGTGATAGTATCCACTCAGAAGTCATGGGAGATGTATTTGTTTCACAAGCCAGGTGAGCCTTGCTAACCTTAATTGTGAATTTAGATGAAGATACTGGAGAAGGAGAAGGAAAGAATGAATTCTTCCTTTAATCATAATTATATTTTAGCTTATATGTGATAGGTAATTAATTTGTTTCCTGAGAACTAGAATCTTTGAATAATTGATAAGATTGGAATGGAAGAAAAGATATAAAAGATTATTACTTCTTAACATAGAATTAAATCATGATTGTTATAATTGTAGCTTATTTTTCCAAACTGTTTTTATTTAAATATTTGAAAATATAAATACATTAACATGGTTCAAATATTTTAAAATATATATAGTTTATAGTGAAAACTCTCTCTCCCACCCTTGATTCTTATCTGTCCAGTCCTTTCCAAATAACTTCTGGTATTAGTTTATTCTATATCCTTTTAGAGTTTCTTTATGCATATATAAGCAAATAAAGATGTACAGTCTTATTTTCCCCATTTTATCACAAAATGTAACATACTGTATGTACTATTCTGCATCTTGATTTTTTTTTTCACTTAACTCATCTTGGATATATCTTTTCACATCAGTAAATAGAGAGCTTCCTTCCTCATTCTGTCTTACTGCTGTATAATGTACAAGAATGCATTTAATTGGTCTCTGACAGGTAGACATTTAGGTCATTTCCTATCTTTTTAACTGTAGCTTTTTAAGTCACATGGTCTCAAATGTATTTTAGAAGAAAGAAATTGAGACAATACTCTGGAGAATATTGTAGTGTTGTTAGACATAGAGAATTTTAGTTATTTGTTTACCTGAAAAAAAGAATGCTTAACACAGACGTCAGGCATTTTCCCCCCTTAGTTTAGGCACCTATTTCCAACTAAAAGTTTGACCTTGAATATAACTAAGCTGTATTTCTCTGATAATGTGACACCAAGAGTTGGTGTACAACTTAATGTACTTACATTAAGTTGCATTTCTCAATCCAGACTCTTCATAAATCCTACATTTGAAGCAGAAAATACCACACAGTGTGCATTTATAATTCAGTGGAAAATTTAGTTGATAGAATACTACTAGTGTTCTGGAATTTTGCTACAGAAGCAATTTTTTTCCTAATGCTGAGATAAGATGTGAGTTGATTTTAGTCTACTGCCCAGATCAACTAAAGCTAATGCAGTATTATCAAGAATCATCTTCATACTATCCTAGTCAGTCATCATTGCCTTTGCCTTCCTTTGATAATCTGGATTCTATCATCCACTAGGTTTTCCACCCCATTTATTGTTAAATTACATCTTTATCTTCATTGTCTAGATTTTTTTATCCCACTTCTGCATTAATACTTTTATTTATAAAACAGGAAGCCTCAAAGGAACTTCTATTTAAATGTGATTGTTTTATTGTCTAAAAATTAAGAAAAATGAGGACAGTTTTGAAGGCTTGTTGACGTGTCGTTGGTATCTTTACATGCCCTCTTTACTGAAATGCCTATTTACCATTTGTGCTATAGGGTTTTAGTCTTTCTAATAAAAGTGTTTTAAGGTTTTAATTTAAATAATGCTGTTCTTCAAGATTTATTGATTTAACAAACATTTATTGGAGCAGTCTCTTCCGTAGCACCTTTGCTCATTTTTCTAGAGAGGGTTGGCATGTCCTGTGCCTATAATTTCCTATTACATTTTGTTCATGCCCCATTACATTTGCTACATACACCATTAAAACAAATGTCTTATATTGTAATTATTTGTTTGCATGGCTGACTTTCCACCAAATATGGCTGACTCTTCTCTCAAGGGCTGGGATTGGGTTCTTTCCTTATTTGTGTGCCAGGGAATACATGATTAGTTTATTGCTTTTTCTGTGCCAGTCACTATGTTAGACTTATGGATCTAAAGATTATTAGGACAACTAGGTACCTGCTCCAGGAGGAAGGAGATTTAACACTGGAACTGGAGATTGGAGGAGCTGTTAGGGGTAGGCATCATGAATGCCATTCACATTACGATGAAAATGGAGAATAACAATCCAGGTACTGGCTTTAGGTGCTGTAAGTTTTCATTTGTATGGCATAGGTTGTTTTTTATAATGGTAGGTTAGGTAGGATACTATATAATATGATGCTTGCAGTGTATTACTATAACCACGAGTACCGTCTAATTGAGTTTTTCTATTTGGATTTATCTTAAAAATTTTAAATTAATAGTTTTCTATTAACCTAGTTAAAAATTCACTAAAGATGAAGCAAATTTAAAAAAAAGATTTGAGTAGATTTACTGCTTATTCTTTTTTTTCTGTCAGTTTTATTGAGATATAGTTGATATACAACACTGTATAAATTTAAGGTGTACCGCTCAATGACTTGACTTTCATATATTGTGAAATGATTACCACAATAAGTTTAGTTAACACTTATCACCTCATATAGTTACAATTTTTTTTCTTATGATGAGAACCTTTAGGATCTAC